GGAGGCGCGCGAAGATGCACTGGAGAGAAAGCAAGTGTCTTTGGCCTGCCTGGGGCCACTTGGAAGGCTTCTACAGGCGGCAGCCTTTCCTGCACACCCCTGAGAATAAGTCCCACTGAGCGCCATGGGTCTCTCTCTCTCTCTCTCTCTCTCTCTCTCTCTCTGTGTGTGTGTGTTTATTTGCTTGATTTATATGCCTACCCCTCCGTGCAAAGCATTCCTCCCAGCGGTTTCCAAGGTCGCCTGTTTAGGATGTATTGTGGCATGGCGTGGATCCAGGTCTATAGAGCCTGTGTCCTGTTCAGTAGTAAAATATACTGTACTAGTCTGCATCAGGCTGTCCACCAACATGTTGTGGAAGAGACAGGAAAAACAAAAACAAAAGAAAGTCCCAAAAGGCATGCCAGAGGTCCGTGCCAGGTTGGTTTCTTAAACATGAGTTTCAAAATGCAGGCTGCAAACACAAGTCAGAAGGGCAAGTTTAAAATCCCACCTTTGCACAGACCTCTGAAATACATGCACACATCTTTTCAGTGAGCACACGCATAGGTGCAGTAGTGTGAGAGCTGGAGTGGTGATTAGCGTGTTGGGTCGCATTTGGTGGTGAAACGACCTAGGGTGACCTTGGGCCAGTCATCCCAATCTCCTGGTGCCACTATATTTTCATTCTTCCTTTTTTGTGTGTCTATATGAAACTGTTACACAGGGTATTGTGAAAATAAAGTGGTGGGGAGGAGAATGATGTCCACTACCTTGAAGTCACGGGAGGGAAAACGTAGCCTAAAAATGCCATAACAATAATAGCAACAAATATTGTACATTAAATATTGTACGTTAGCTTCCTGATAGTACATATTATTCACCTTGCCCTTCAAATCAGTTATCATGCTACTTATATTTGTAAACTCGTCTGGGAGACTTTTTGGCTAAAGGGAAGATTAGAAATAGTTTAAATAAATAAGCAAGACAGTCTGCATAACTATTATAGTACTGGAAACTGTTTAATACTGCTAGTACTGTTAATGGGTAATATACAAAATAAATTCTGGAACTATCCTAGCTGTTCACAGACCAGTAGTAGATAACATTGGCCCTCCTAGTATTTTTAATAACAACTCCATAGTTCTTTAATATTGGCCATGCTAAGAGAAGACTCCCTGGAAAAGATCCTGATGTCGGGAAAGTATGAGGGCAAGAGGAGAAGGGGACAACAGAGGATAAGAAGGTTGGACAGTGTCATCGAAGCAACCAACATTAATTTGACCCAACTCCGGGAGGCAGTGGAAGACAGGAGGGCCTGGCGCGCTCTCTGGTCCATGGGGTCACGGAGAGTCGGATACAACTAAGACCAAAACGGCTGAACCAGAATTTCCTCAGCCCTTTCTTAGACTATGTGAAATGTCCCACTACTAAACCCAAGGAATTAATATTTTGACATTCTGGGTGCAGCGGTTCATGGCTAAGAAGATTTGAGACTATACACTGCATAAATATTGATGTTCTGTTTCAAAATGGTTTGGCTGTTTGGACAAGAATTAGAATGCAAAATGACAGGTGTGTGTGTATAATACTATAAAATATGTATTTTTGGGCTGTGTAGGACATACTGGATCTAAACCTTCTCTTTGGATTATGCTCAGGAACCAAGAACCCAATGGCAAAAATGAAATCTGAAGTTATACAATCTTCCTGTTTTGTTTTTCTTCCTGACAGGCAACACCATGACATCTACAAATTTACCGATTTCTAGATTTACTAGGACCTTGACAGTTACTGTCTGCTTCTGTTCTTGCTCCTCCTTTCATTTTCTTTTTCTCTTAAATTATTTTATTTTACTGTATTAGTTTTTTACTATTATGGCACTCTTGAGAGCCACCCATGGAGGAAACTCATAAATTAAACAAACAGTCCAGTCAATCTGTGATGACAGCTACAATACAGTAGTTTCAAAGAAATCAGAGTGGATCTGAGTCTGCGGCATTAGTACAGCTGTACTTCTCAACTTCCAGATAACCTCACGTAGATGACTGAGAATCTTCACAGATTAGTGCAGATGCATAAATTGCACTGCACACAGGCCAAATGCAATTTTAAATGAAAGATGCACTGGCTTCAGGGAGCAGAATTAGGCACAAACCTCTTTTAGCAAGAATCCTTTCTGATGTTAGATCTTTGACGTGTGCAGAGAAGCGGCAGGGGAAAAGCTATACCTGTCCATTGTGAGAACACCTTTCGTCAGTTTTTAAGCCTTGATTAATGAACAAAAAGTGTACAACTGCCCTCAATCCTCTGTCTTTACCCTTTTGCTTTTGATTAGTTGCTCCTGTACTTAAAAAAAACACACACACACTTAGCTTTCCACTTTATCAAGGCTAAGGAATTCCAAAAGCTTTGGGCTGATGACCCATGTAGAACTTAATAAGGTTTATGGTACTGGAGGGATCTGCAGTCCAAAGGCAGTTTAAAATTGGCTGTACTGAGATCTGAAAGCAACAGAAATGTGCTCTACTTTGAAGTTAATTGGGGTCCTGGCATCAGTGTTGATTCCTTCTACTATACTAGCGCTGTTTATATTGTGTCTCCTAATTACAATTGCATGGCATCAAGCCCATTTTCAACTCATGGCAATCCTTTTCAAGGTTTTATAGGTATACGCAGAAGTGATTTACCATTTATTTCTTCTGAGAGTACTCTGGGACTGCACAAGGCTACAGAAACTCTTTTCCCAGGAGACACTGTGGGGACTGAACTCTCAGCCTCTGACCTGGCAGTCAGGTACCTAACTCACTGATTTATCCAGGCAGCTGTTCCGTTCTTGCTTCCCCAACAGGAGAAAAAAAAACTTTTTTTCTTCAATTATCCAATTTTCCTGATGCCAAAATTAAAAATTTCCCTCTTGGAATACTCAAAGGTGGTGGCAGACTTGAATGTTTACGGCCCTGAAGCCTGAACTCTTATGGAGACCCCTTCACAACCAACAATGAGGTCTGGGTAACCACTGTTACCTTCTTCAATAGGGTTGTTCCTTGACAGATCACCACAAAATTTGTAAAAAATGTGGATGAATGTCTCTTTTGGGGCACTCCAGGATTTAGGAGCCTTGAGGTTTAAGCTTCATTGGTTTCATAGTAGATTCACCCCTGCTGTAGTGAATTCTGAGTAGTATCAGAATTAACAGACTGCCTCTTCAGAATAGCCAAGTCTTCACTAAAGATGAGCATGAATCAGAAGGAAATGTGATTTGTTTTGATTCGTGATTTGTCAGGGTCAACGAATCGTGAATAATGAAGGTTATGGGTTTGTTTGTTTGTTTTTGTACATCCGAGTTCTAAACCCACAAAATGGGTCCTCCAGGAAGGTGCTCCTTAGCACCTGGCTTGGGGGAACCCAATCTTCACCAAAGTGGGTCCTCCAGAAAGGTGCTAGCTCTTTAGCACCTGGCTTGGGGAAAACCCAATCTTCACCAAACTTGGGGGGATTGTAGAGGAAAGTCAGGGGAAGCCTCTCTATGATTTGGGTGTCTCTGTGTGCCTGAGGAGATACGTTCCGGGGGGGGGGCTTTTATGTGGGTTTATAACTCAGACATCCTAAACCCAATCTTCACCAAATTCAGAAAGACTGTAGAGGAGAGGCAGGGGGGAGTCAGGGGAAGCCTCTCTATGATTTGGGTGTCTCTGTGTGCCTGAGGGGATACATTCCAGAAAGACTGTAGAGGAGAGGCAGGGGGCACTTCTCTGCAATTTTGGTGGTTCTAGGTGCCGGGGGGGGGGCTGTTTTATAGCCCAACATTGAGGCAGACAAAAACAATTCATTGATTCCTATTTGTCAGGGGGATTGAATCATATGAATACAAATCGACAACTTAGCAATTTTTGATGAATTTTGTGATTTGTTTTTAAATCTAGCCTTAACCGTAATGATGTCAGAAACATCTGTGCACATAGCCAGGCATTTGGGTCGCTATTAGGTTGACCGCTTGCTACGTTTCGAGTATGAAATAATGGTGAGGCGATGAAAAAGGCAAGGAGACTTCCATTTTAACATTTAGTAACATTTATTTCTGCATTCAGTATCAAGTACATAAGTGCAAATATTCAGAGTTCATAATTAAGTCCTACATAGAATGTCATAAAAATTGGTGATACATGTTACAAGCCGGAAGTCTTCGGTTTCCCATACATGTAAATCAGCCTGTTGATCCCTCGGGAAGAAAAGAAAACAAAGTACTGGGCAGGTTGGCTCTATCTGAATTTTCTGTTATAGAGTTATACAAAACAGATTATACCGTATAAGTACCGATTGTTCTTTTGTTTTTGTTTTAATTACTTGTGCTGAAAAGAAAACAACAACACGTAAAGACATCAGTCTACAATTCTAGATAGTTAGTAAGGAGAACCTCAACCAGCAAAACCCAGCAGACAGAGAAGCAAAACTGCATCAGGGCACTAAGCAGGAAAGCCCTAGCCACATGTAACATTAAAAGTTATCCAAGCGATGCCAATAGTAGTAGTAGTAGTAGTAGTAGTAGTAGTAGTAGTAGTAGTAGTATAAGCACTAGAAAATAAAAAATAGAAAGTTCAATAGTATTTTAGGCTCTCACCATCATGCACTTGAGAAGCAACACAAGAACCACACTTAGAACACTTTTCTCTTTACTATACTTTAGTGCGTGACACATGTGATTGCAAATAGTCTAAGAGAATACAGAAACCAGCAGAAGAGGAAAAAGGAACAGCTGCTTTATTGTTTCACATCTCTGAGATCATGGTGTTTGAAGTGGGGTGGGTGAAGACAGATGTGCCGGGTTTAAAGCAGAGGTACACGCTCGGGGAGAGACATGTACCGCAGTGGAGCCAAATGGGCCTTTCCTCTCTAGGCTTGAGGGCTCTGGGAAAGAAACGGTTCTGCAAATTTGAAGCAGAAGCAAGCTGCCCCAGGGCTGACGGGCTGCCTCCTTATGATGTCGTTCTTCCTCATTCCTGAATTACTTTTGCATTTTAGCCATGTTCCCTTAAAAGAGGGTGGGATCTAGAAAGAAGTCAATGAAAGAAATGCACAAACATTGGTGTGATGATCTTCCTTGTCCTGTCCCCTTCCTTGAAAAAGTTAAGACAGCCAACCTGAAGCGTAGGAGGAGGAAGGAGAAAACGAGACAGCCCAAATCAGCCTATGTTGGATACCCTGGCAGAAATATCTGTCATTTCCTTGAGGAAGCCAGGCTCACCCTATTACTGAGGGAAATGCTAAAAACTCCTTTTCTGTTTTATGGCTGCCTTCACCCAGAGAGAGAGAAAAAGGGGGAGAGAGAAGAGAGGAACAATAAATTATAACTAAAAGTAAGAACAGAGCTGTTTTCATCCCAGACTCGCTCATCATTCACTCCTGTAGTTGGTGGATCCTTTGTTGCTGCTTTTATTCAGCCTTCCTCTTAGCACCTGGGATCTTTGCTTGGATCCTGTGGGTGGAAAATGGGTTTACAAGGGAAGCAGAAGGGGAAAGAATCAGAGTTTTAATTTGAACAGCCTAATTAACTGTCCTCCCTACAAGATGTTCTTTTGGTAGAGATGTTTTTTCCCCGCAAGAACATTGAGAGCTAAGCTGTATTTACCCCCTGAAAATGACATCTATGGCCTCTTCAAGGCCCCACAGGCCTCCCGAAGCAAACTGGTCAGAAAGACAAAGGAAGCGACAGAGCCTTGAAACCTTGTCTGTTCCCCAACAGTTGGGAGAAAACGGTCAATGAAGACAGAGATTCTTATGAGATTCTGCCACCTCTTATGTAATTCACTCTGAAAATGACTGCATGGCATTAGGCATTAAGGATGTTGACATGGAGGGCGTGTCCAGAGGAGGGCGACCAAAATGGTCAAAGGTCCGGAAACCATGTCTTATGAGGAGTGGCTTAGGGAGCTGGGAATGTTTAGCCTTACAAAAAGAAGGTGGAGAGGGGACATGGCAGCCATGATTAAATATTTGAAGGGATGTCATGTCGAGGAAGGGACAGGTTTGTTTTCCACAGCTCGAGGCACTAGGACAAAGAGCAATGGTTTCAAACTACAGGAAAAGAGATTCCATCTGAATCTCAGGAAGAACTTCCTGACCGTCAGAGCCGGTCGGCAGTGGAATGTGCTGCCTCGGAGTGTGATGGAGTCTCCTTCTTTGGAGGCTTTTAAGCAGAGGCTGGATGGCCATCTGTTGGGAGTGTTTTGATGGAGTTCCTGCATGGCAGGGGTCTCGATGGCCCCTGTGGTCTTTTCTAACTCTGTGATTCTAGGTGCTTCAGGGGAAACACGTCCTATGTAAAATTGTCTGAGTTTCCTATGTCAGTAAAGGGGAAACTTCAGCTTTGTCGGAATTGCTTTGAACTTTGCTACAAGTCCAAGATCCAGCAACTAGAGCTTGGGCAAAAGGGATACCCTGAAGCCCTCTGGGTGTTCTCGTGCATGTTTCTCAACAGTTGAGGAAGAAAGCAGAGCAGCCCTCCTTTCCTCCATTACTGCTTTGCTCATACCTGTTTGAAGAAGACAGCCTCCTCTACCTATGCAACATTTATTTTTCCCCTCACATTATGATTCATATAGAGGACCCTTCTGCAGACCTGTTATTTTTCATGCAAGCAAAGCAACAAGTGAGTGACGGGGCAGGGCAAGAACCCTCAACTCCTTTTGTGTTGGAACCCTATTCTCCAAAATAGGAATGTAGAGTTCAAAAACTGCAACCCAACATTTTATTTCATAAGTCAAAACCGAACTGGATGCCTCTTGAGTCATTGCCCTTACCTCCAAAAATCTGTTACTGGTTCATGCAAAACTTCCTTAATTTTAGAAATATAATTTAGGCTGGGGTGTCTTTTTAGTGGGGCAACTGCTAAACAACTAGAATTCAGAAGTCTTTGTAGGTCGACCACAAATCAAATCATCTTGTGACTGACCAGTTTATCCCTAAACAGTCTTCTGCCGAATTCCTTCCTGCATCTTCCATGACAGTAGTCCCCAACCGTTTTCGAACCATGGACCGGTTCAGCAGGTGGCAGCATCCATGTGTGTGTGAGCGGGGCATGTGTGCATCCATGCACCCATGGGCAGGGTGTCCATGCATGGGCGGGGTGTGCGTGCATGCATGTGGGGGGCCGTGCATGCATCAGCAGGCGGCAGCATCCATGTGTGTGTGAGTGGGGCATGTGTGCATCCATGCACCCATGTGTGTGCATGCATGTGGGGGGCCGTGCATGCATCTGTGGGTGGGGCGTCCATGCATGAATGGGGGGCATACATGTGTGCTTGGGGGTGAGAAATCTATCTCCGTGGCCCGGTCCTGCCAAGGCCACGGTCCAGTACCGGGCCACGGACCGGGGATTGTGGACCCGTTCCATGATGTGACTCCATGGCTGAGACTACACTGGCAAAGCTGATTCAGTATCGCTATGATCTGATTTGCAGCCTGAATTACAGTTGAATTCTCAGTTAGTAATCACACAGAGTCTGTGGATCGATTCAGGAGTTCAGTGTTCACACTTGATGCAATGTGATTCCCATTTTAGTCCACAGCATCCCCTTTCCTTTCCTTCCTTCCTCTGGTCCCACCTCTGCTGATACTTTTATGGTTCACTGTCAAGCTGCTTGGTTTTGAAACGGTTGATAGTTTTCCGGAAAAGGTGGCAGTGTTCTAAAGTTCTTCTTAATGCACACAGAAATACCACAGGAACATCTTTTATTTCATCTGGGTTGTTTCGTATTGTATTGCTTATAATTAAAAAACAAAACAAAACAAAAACCTCATCTGGAAGTGATCAGCGCTAGGGATATACTACTTATTTCATTATACTAGCAAAATAAGGTTATCTAGTACTGATGTAATATATGTAAAAATATTAAATTTGGAGAATGATCAGAGGGAAAGAATATAGGGGCAGGTCCTCCTGTGGTATTGAACACCACAGCCCAACTACCTACATTATTGAAACATCACCCACAGAGACATTCCGCCCCTGCTCCCTAAGTCTTTATGAGAATGAATCAACCGATCCATTGAAATTGTTCTGGCTTGAAAAAAGTAGAAGCCCCTAATGGCAGGAAAAAAGCCATGTCAGAAACAAAAGGGCCTGCATCCAATTTGGATCGTGTGATCAGCAAAAAAAAAAATAAAAAAAAAAAAATTGAAATCATCCATTTTAAATGAGCAAATTCCCGAATTCCCGCAGTATTGGACTAACTCACTACCTGTGTTCATAACTTACTTCGCCACAACAGTATTTACGTGAGTCCTCACAAGTCCCAAATATTGGTCGATTTGTGCCTGGAAGGGGAAAAAATGGGGAAGTCAATATGGGAGGGAAATTCATACATTTTCCAGAGGTTGTTTATAAAATTGACAGAACTCAGGTCTTGACATATACTTCTGTCATAGTCGTAAAGAGAATGAAATTTCCCCTAGGCTTATGGTAGCCTGCTGCCTTCCCTATGACACCTCACATCATCCCCTATCCACCAAGCCGGGTATATCGGAAACTGAAGACTAGCATGTAATTCTCTTTTTAAAAGGGGAACAGGGAATACTCCCATGCTACCTGGAGTAACATGTCCTAAGACATGTAAAACTACATCAAGAAAAACTGAATTACACGGTTATACCTTGGGGCAGAGGGAATAGGCAGGAATTTGTAGCCAAGGTTGCAATCATATGCCTGCTTATCTGGAAGAAATCTCACAGAACTCAGCAGAATTTATCTCTGAACAGGAATGTGCAAGATTGCATTGTAAATGCTATAGATGCTTGAGGACGTAAAAGCCTCCCAGCATGACGGGGCCTTCCTCTCAATCCCCGATGCAACCACCATTACTTTTTGGGTGCTCTTCTTGGCCGTCTTGAGCAGGTATTTTAGGGGGCAGAGGGAGGAGAGATTGCCCCCTCCTCCTTACACTGATGAAAGCAATTCTACTGGCCTCGGATTTGGCCAGAAGATCTGTGGCCAGAAAATTTTCTGAAGGAAAGAGGTAACAAATTGCAAAGAACCAATGTTTCCCCCCAAACTCTTGTTCCCCACCCACTATTTACCTATCCGCCTTCTTGTCACTAAGCGATCTTTTAAAACCTACTTTTTTTGTTTTCGAAAGTTCGTTTTCTAGAATGGCCCAAACTGTGAGTTTAAAATAATAATCACAGACCGAGAAGGAAATGCATATGTATCTCCATGGATATTACATCTGCACAGGACTGATTTCCTTAATTTACCCTGTGGCTTGCATATAATGAGCCCTTCAAAGCAATGGGGTGTTTGTGCTGTGCCCAGTGGGTGTGTTGATGCAGCAATTCATTCCGAGATCTCGTTTTATTCCAGGCAACCCACAAAGATCAAACACGAAAAACAGAACGTGAACGACTGAAGATCTGCATAAGGCTCACGACATCGTCAGCTGCAGCGGTTTTTCAGAAATAAAGTATTTCCAGTTTCTTTCTTTCTGAATTTTGTGTTTTTTATTTCCAAAAAATTGCCATGGTCATCAGCCTTACACAGTGTAACATACAGCAACAAGATTTTGGCCATTATGTCTTGCACTTTCTCCAGTTAATCTGTATTTATAAATGTACCTACATTACATCTCTCCTCTAACAAGCAACATGGTTCACCTCCACCTTCTTTAATCTCGCAATAGCCTTGTGCAATTCTGGGAGTTGTAAGGAACTTTTCCAAGCCCTACGGAAAACTAAGCCTATATAGTAAGGTAAAGGTTCCCCTTGACATTTAGTTTAGTCGTGTCCGACTCTAGGGCGCGGTGCTCATCCCCATTTCCAAGCCGTAGAGCCAGCGTTTGTTCGTAGACAGTTTCCGTGGTCACGTGGCCAGCGCGACTAGACACGGAACACCATGACCTTCCCACCGAGGCAGTACCTATTTATCTACTCACATTTACATGCTTTCGAACTGCTAGGTTGGCAGGAGCTGGGACAAGCAAGGGGAGCTCCCTCCGTCGCATGGATTCGATCTCATGACGGCTGGTCTTCTGACCCTGCAGCACAGAGGCTTCTGCGGTTTAACCCGCAGTGCCACCAGGTCCCAAGCCTATATAGTACCCCCATGCAAATCACTGGAAAAGCCATTTCCATTTCTATGGTGGGCAAAAAGCTGACCAGATACTACTCAACCTCAATGGATAAGCCCCAATTAGAAGAGACCCATTTAATGAATGGGATTTCTTATAGATATCCCGGACAACCCAGGCAATGTAGTTGCTGACCTAGAGCCAGACATCCTGGAGAGTGAAGTCAAGTGGGCCTTAGAAAGCCTGGCTAACAACAAGGCCAGTGGAGGTGATGGCATTGCAGCTGAACTATTTAAAATCTTAAAAGATTATGCTGTTAAGGTGCTACATTCAATATGCCAGCAAGTTTGGAAAACTCAAGAGTGGCCAGAGGACTGGAAAAGATCAGTCTACATCCCAATACGACAGTGTCACCGAAGCAACCAACATGAATCTGACACAACTCCGGGAGGCAGTGGAAGATAGGAGGGCCTGGCGTGCTCTGGTCCATGGGGTCACGAAGAGTCGGACACGACTAAACGACTAAACAACAAAAATTTCTTATAGAAGTCCCTTTGTTTCAGTGGGTCTTACTCTGCTGGAGTTTTGGTTGAAACCTCGCATGCTGTCTGTGGTTTGAGTGACTGGGAGGGCCTTTTGTAGGCTGGGGTGCTTGTCCATCTATCCAGCACTAGCCAACTGTTCCTTCCAGCTTTTGATTTAAAAGAGAGTACTCTTTCCGCCCCCTCTCTTTCCTGTGTTGGTGGCCGTTATTTGTGCGCTGTTGATCAGTTCAGTTGGTTGCTAAGTATTCTATGTGTGCAGCATAGAAAGAAAGCAGGATAGGTGATTTCAAACAACTGTAAGTAAAGGAAATGTTTTTTTTTCTCTTACAAATGTCTTAGAGCAGTGGTTCTTAACCTTTGTTACTCGGATGTTTTTGAACTGCAACTCCCAGAAACCCCAGCCAGCACAGTTGGTGGTGAAGGCTTCTGGGAGTTGCAGTCCAAAACTCCTGAGTAACCCAAGGTTAAGAACCAGTGTCTTAGAGTGAGTTATTGTGACTTTAAGTGCCAGTTAAGGAGAAAGGGATGGACTCTGGGGAACTTGAATCTATTCTCCACTGTGGGTCTCTGACCTTCTGCTGTGTAGCATAAACAAAAAGAAAAAACAGGAATATTAACAGGAATTCAAAATTCCAACATACTCTAATTGGGGCTAACATTTGCACTGTATTTAGCCCCATGACTGTCAGATCCCTGATGCTTCCTCATGGATTACTTATCACTTGTTAACATTTCCCTGACACCCTGCATTGCTCACCTGCTACTCTGTGTTATCAGCTACGTTTCTGAATAGCAAATGTTAATAGTGTCATTGTCTCTGTCGGTCCTTTCTGCATTTTCATTTTCTTCTGACCACTGTCTGAAGCTCTCATCCTGTCCTCCCAAACCACAGGTACTGTTTATATATCTGAATTTCTGAATAACACTTCATACATCTAATGAAATGAGTTATAGTTCATGGAAGCCTATGTTACAATAAATTTGTTGTCTTCTACATTATATGCAGTATACATCATGTTTAAGGCTGGACTGGAGGTATCCCGAACTGGAATTAAGATTGCTGGAAAAAATATCAACAACCTCAGCTATGCAGATGATACCACTCTGATGGCAGACAGTGAGGAGGAATTAAAGAACCTCTTAATGACGGTGAAAGAGGAGAGCGTAAAAAATGGTCTGAAGCTCAACATCAAAAAAACTAAGATCATGGCCACTGGTCCCATCACCTCTTGGCAAACAGAAGGGAGGCAGTGACAGATTTTACTTTCTTGGGCTCCAGGATCACTGCAGACGGTGACAGCAGCCACAAAATTAAAAGACGCCTGCTTCTTGGGAGGAAAGCGATGACAAAAAGGACAGATCCTGAAGCTGAGGCTCCAATACTTTGGCCATCTCATGAGAAGACTCCCTGGAAAAGACCCTATGTTGGGAAAGTGTGAAGGAGAAGGGGACGAAAGAGGACACAATGGCTGGACAGTGTCATCGAAGCAACCAACATGACTTTGACCCAACTCCGGAAAGCAGTGGAAGACACGAGGGCCCGGCGTGCTCTGGTCGATGGGGTCACAAAGAGTCGGACACGACTTAACAACTAAACAACAACAACAAGTGCCAGAGAACTTGTTATTTCTCCTGTAATTATGACTAATACAGTAATTACTTTGGCAATTGTTCCTCTACCTCCTTAACAGAGTATAAACAATTTATTCAGCAACAACAAAATGAGTTTTTAAACATACCTGGTACTTGTCATATACAACAGGTAGAGTAAACATTGAGACCACAGCTAGAAAGAGAGGAAAGAGAAAAAGTATTATATTTCCAGGCCTGGCAATAATATTTCTACGCATAGCATACACTGTGTATTGTGTTTTCCCCTGAAAGATACAAACCATACTAATAATAAAATTCTTGTTTAGTGGATTTGATGTGGATGAAAAATGAGAAGAAGGGAACAAAAGCAGGGGATAAGCCCAAAGGCCCATGATTTGTCTCTATGTGGGTTTTGTACAAGAGCTAAAAACATTTTAGAAAACTATAAAAACTGCAGCATCAGTTATCAAAAGACCCTTTACTCAGCAGCTCAGTCAAAACTGCCTTAAGAGAAAGTTCTGTGTGCTGGCAGAAGGACTATTCATTCATTCATTTGTTCATTTGTTCGTTCGTTCATTGCTCCCCTTTTCTCCAAACAAAGAGAACCAAGACACTTACAATATCAAGACAATGAAAAATACAATAAATTAAAATACTACAGCTATACATGTTAATCAAGAAAAGCACATTTTAAAGATAAAAGATGCAACTGTCCCATTAAAATCCTTTTGCTTAGCAGTGATTTATTTACAAAAAGTCTGCAGGGAAGGGGCCAATCCGGTCTCCCATGGAAGGGAGTGCCACTGCAAAGGCGCTCTCACAAACATCTGCGCCACATGTGTCTATGAGGGTTATGAGACTGGCAGAAAATCCTTCTCTAAAGATCTCAAAATCCAGAGATACTGGTTGGGGTGGGTGGGTGAGGTGGCGTGTCGTCCCTCGGAGAGCCTGAACTGAATTGTTAGGCCTTTATAGGTCAAAATTTGCACTTTTGATTTGTGCCCAGAAATGGACCAATGGCTACTGAAGCTCTCGGAATGAGGAGTTTCTGCAACCGCAGAGGAGGAGTGAAGTTTGGCTCCCATGGAAATGAATTCCATAACCCGGGAAACAGGTAGAAATAATGAGGCAACTTTTCCACCCAGTGACATAATGGTATTAGGAAGGTTCCTTCATCTGGGAAATAGAAAGAAGAACGTTACCTCATATAAAGTCAAGACTATTTATCTATCTAGTCCAGAATTTGGAAAAGTTACCTTTTTTTAAAAAAATGACAATTCTGGCTAGAGGATCATTTGGGAGCTTTCATCTAAAAAAAAGTGATTTTTCTCCCCAATCTGTAATTTAGTTCAGTATTATCTGTGAGACAAAGGTCTTCCTGATCCCCTTCTTCCGAAGCCTCTTAACTAGACCTCTCCATGTAAAGTAGGTGCCGTACCACTTCACCCTTCTCCCCTCCTCTGTGTTGAAAAATAAGCATTCAGGAGGTGATGGTGATCACTTTCCTCAGTTTAAACTGAAGGGCAATGTTTGAGCTTGTGCCATAATACGGGAGGAATGAGAATGTGAATCAGCTTTACAGATCACCTAGCCAAGAATCTCACCATGAGAGTAAATACGAAAGTACCAGGAGGGTTTGAATAAAAAGATCTGCACGAGGTTTCTATGAAAGGTGCATGGATGAGGAGAACATATTTCAATAGAGTAAATGAAGCTAATGGAAGATCCTAAAAATAAATGGATGACCTTACCCATTATCAGAAGCGTTAGGCCATTGAAGAGCGCTCCAACGTATGTCAGCAGCCACATTAGTACTGCAAACTGAATTGGAAATGCAGTTATTACCTCGCCATGCAAACGCCAGGCAGAAAAGTAAATGATTCTGTAAAATTTAGCTTTACTATCTCATTTTGCTAATGGTTATTCCATCAGTTTCATTTAAGGTAAAGGTAAAGGTTCCCCTTGACATTTTTAGTCCAGTTGTGTCCGACTCAAGGGGGCGGTGCTCATCCCGTTTTTCAAGCCGTACAGCCAGTGCTTGTCCGAAGACAGTTTCCATTGCTACGTGGCCAGCGTGACTAGGGAACGCCGTTTTACCTTCCCACCGTGGTGGTACCTATTTATCTACTCACATTTTTACATGCTTTCGAACTGCTAGGCTGGCAGGAGCTGGGACAAAGCAGCGAGAGCTCATTCCGTCACGTGGATTCGATCTTACGACTGCGCCACCAGATCCCTCAGCTTCATTTAGATAAACTTTAAATCAACAAATTGCTGGCTTCTTTTAAGCTACATGAACTAGGTGGATCCACTATTTTTTCAATCCCAAAGTCCTGGATTTTACACTGAGTATATCACTGATATCCTGAAAAGCCTGCATTTAATTTTTTTTTTAAGTTTCTGGTGCTCTGGCCAGGAAACATGAAATCTGTGGATGAATCTCAGAAACGATAAATTCTTGAGTGTGGTTTGTAAAAGAGGGAAGTGCCGCGCACAGTGTCTACTTTATATGTATTTGCAACACAAGCAAATGCATGCTGAGTTGTATGACTCAGCCATGCTACAAAACCAAGTTTCTCTTGGCGTGGAAGCTGGTTTTCTCTTGATGCAAAATTAATTTATTTAAGGTATAGAGTGTACATACTATACACATAACATTACTGTTTCAATTAACCGATTTACTGAGGTCATCTCCAGTGAATAGGCTTAATTCTAGTTCCATGGTTTAATTTTTAATGTGTTCCAATTGGGCCGAATACTCACCGTTCAGCGATGCTTCCCTATGGCCAGCAGCCATTTTTGCGCCCTCTCCTCGTGTAACAAGGGTGCGAAAACGCTGCGCAGGGCCATTTTGGGGCTTCCGGCGGCCATTTTGTAGCCGCCGGACAGCTGATCGGCGGGTCGCAAAGCGAAGGTCGGTAAGCGAACCGCTTAACGACCTTCGCTCTGCGATTTTCGCCCATTGGGGCCGTCGCTCTGCGATCGCATTAGCGATCAAAAAAAGTCCCCATAGAGCGAATTCATTGCTCTATGGGGCGCTCGTTGTGTGAGGCACCACTGTATTTAAGGTATAGAGTGTACATACTATGCACATAACATTACTGTTTCAATTAACCGATTTACTGAGGTCATCTCCAGTGAATAGGCTTAATTCTATGCTGTCTTAAAAAATATGAATTAGATCATGTTAACACATCCCCAAATTTGTGGGTTTTGAACTCCCCATGGCCACAGTCCATCAGGACTAATTAAGGCAGTAAAAAAGGAAGAAGAGGGACCTCCAACAGGTCTATTTCCTTTAACATTACAGATGTCCATTAGCTTCAGAATGGCTGGAAGTTTTCTCTAGTAAATTCACAAGTAGTGGAGCAAAAGAATAGGTTTCCTTAGCTCCTTCTTGGACATAAAAAGCAGGCAGCTCTTAAACCCAAAGAAAGCTAGGAGAATTAAGACTAGAACCCCATCTTTATTCATTATTACAATCCTTGCTAAAACAATAAACTATCCATCCTGTTTTGGTTGAGGATAATCTTCTTCATAGGTAAAGGTAAAGGTTCCCCTTGACAATTTTTGTCCAGTCGTGTCCGACTCTAGGGGGCGGTGCTCATCCCCGTTTCCAAGCCATAGAGCCAGCGTTTTGTCCAAAGACAATCTTCCGTGGTCACATGGCCAGTGCGACTTAGACACGGAACGCTGTTACCTTCCCACCGAGGTGGTCCCTATTTATCTACTTGCATTTGCATGTCCAACAGGTCTATTTCCTTTAACATTACAGATGTCCATTAGCTTCAGAATGGCTGGAAGTTTTCTGTAGTAAATTCACAAGTAGTGGAGCAAAAGAATAGGTTTCCTTAGCTCCTTCTTGGACACAAAAAGCAGGCAGCTCTTAAACCCAAAGAAAGCTAGGAGAATTAAGACTAGAACCCCATCTTTATTCATTATTACAATCCTTGCTAAAACAATAAACTATCCATCCTGTTTTGGTTGAGGACAATCTTCTTCATAAGGAGAAGGTTAATCATCCTCATCATCTTAGAACTGCAGAGCTGGAAGGACGTTTGAGGATCACAGGATCCAGCCCCTGTCAAGGAGCCACCATGGAGAATTGAACTCACAGCCTCTAGTTCTGCTGCCAGAGACTTAACCCACTGAGCTATTCGACAGTTCTATTAAAGGTCTTTTCTCAAGGCAGCACCCATTTAACTTGAGGTTTTAAAGCAGCTTGTCATCAATTGAAACTGCTGGAAGATTTTATTGTTTTACAAGAACTCATATTCCCCCCCCCCCATTATTCCTGGTTAGTACTATTTTGAGGCTTTATCTCTTCTTTGGGCATTGCTTCTGTAGTCCCTAGCATCAGGTCTCGGAGCCTTCCCAGTGACCTTGCTGGTCAGGAAATTCTGTGAGCTGTAGTCTTAAAAGACTAACTTTTCTAAATTCTGAGATACACTGCTTCTGTAAAGCAAAGCGTGCGGCTTATATACTGCCCCATTGCGCTTAAGGCACTCTCTGAGCAGTTTACAAGTTAACGATGCAGGCTACACACTCCCCCCCCCCACCCCCGAGAGCTGGGTGCTCATTTTACTGACTTTGGAAGGATAGAAGGCTGAGTCGACCTTGAGCAGGCTTCCTGGGATTGAATCCTCGGTCGTGAGCACAGTTTTGGCTGCAGTACAGCCGTTTAACCACTGCGCCATGAGGCTCTTCTGTAAGCTGTACATGGAGGTCCCCTTTTGTTTTTAAGGCCAATAGTTCTTACCTCTGGTGGCCAATGAGGTCCACCTCGCTTCCCTACCAACTGTGATTTAGCGCAACAGCATTCAACAGGCAGCAGGAGAGAGAAAGAGGGAGGGAGAGAATGGACTGCAGAGGTTCTCTGTTTGCAGAAAAACTTCCACTGTCAAGATTTTACTATACTCCAACTGCTTGCATTCAAGGTGGTCCAGATAAGAACTCCACAATTTTAAGAGATTTTTTGCGTACGTTTGCTCCTCCCTTCGTCTCATCTCTTCCCTCCTCTTTCTTTGCAAGACTAAGGGCAGTCTTCTTGGTCATAAATGTCACCTTAGCGTTCTGAAGAGCTTTTCAATGGATGCACGGAACAACGGTTCCCTCTGTCTGATTCCTTTTTAAAGCCACTGATTTTGGAGGGCCCTCTATCACACCACATGGTAGTGAACACCACTCAGAGATGACATATAGTACCGTATAAAATAAATTCTTTTGTGGGGATATACCAACTCAGAGACTGGAGTGTTATCCTCTCAAATAAGCCCACATGTTTGTCTTTCAAGCCCTCTCTGTTCTTTGCTTTTCACGTACTTTTAAAGAATCCACCAAGTCCTGGACGAGAAAGAGCCGCCTTAGCTCTTTGACTGTGCTGTTCACATACGACTGAAGACAATCTGTGTATTTCTGAATTTGTTCCTGGGAGAGAGACATTTCCATTTCCAAGTAGCTTCTGTGGGAAAAGAACAACTCAGGTTATAAAAGCGCAAGGCAGGTCCATGCATTGACTTCTACTCTTCCTTTTGATGCATCATTTTGCTGCAAACATTCAGGCTAGAAAACCAACTGTTTCCACCAGCTTTAAGTATGTCATTTATATACTGCTCCATAGTCCTTAAAGCACTCTATCCAGTCAGCTGGGTGCTCAGTTTACCAACCTGGCCTCAGAAGGATGGAAGGCTGAGTCAACTTTGAGCTAGTTACCTAGCCAGCTTACATCTCTTTTGATCAGTAACTAATTATTCCTCATTGACCCTGCCTTCCAGTTCCATAAACTGCCACAAAAATGGACAACCAAGCAAAAGATTGAGACAACAGTTTACTTTTAACAGCAAATTATTGTGGTTGTTGTGGGTTTTTCAGGCTCTCTGGCCGTGTTCTGAAGGTTGTTCTTCCTAATCTAGATGCCGGCCACAAAGACTGGCGAAATGTTAGGAAGAACAACCTTCAGAACATGGCCAGAGAGCCCGAAAAACCCACAACAACCATTAGATCCCAGCCATGAAAGTCTTCGCGAATATGATGTTAATTTGCTCTTGTTTTTTCAAATATCATAGGTAAAAGGAAAAAACCTCACTTTAAAAAAAGAAAGAAAAAAGTACGTTTCCAGACTGTGGAAGTTAAGATCTGGAAATCGGCAAGCAATGGAGTAGAGAGAGTAGGTGTTGTCGTATGTTTCCAAATTTATCGCTTTTGCACAGATTTTAGAAACAGTGTTTTAATTGTTTTTGCCAAGTAAAGGGTCCGGGGTGAGATAACTGAAGAGTACTCACTTGAACGGGTGCCCCTCATCAGTTTTTTGCACAGCCTGTAGAACGGACTTGTAGATTCTGAAGCTGATGGTGGCCGAGAGAGCGGCTAGCGCCAGGTAAGCGATCACACTCACAACGCTGAACTGGGTCAGGGAGAAAAGCAGCAGCAAGATGCTCCCGAACACAATGCCCGTCTGCTTGATGTCACGCCAGTATAAGAGGTCGATAGCTGGAGGGAAAAAGGCAAATCATTAGAGCTGAACTCTGGAACCGTACCAGCAGAGGCTACCAGCAGTGCATACCATGCTCTCTGGCAAAGCTGCAATTGGAAGAAATAATTATAGCTGCGTAAACAGAGCCTGACAATCCAAATCCTATGTTCGGCTGGAATCTCTTTGGCTCAGTTTACTGGTGAACGAAAAGAGGTTTTCAACCTCTGTCCTTTGAGATCAGAGGGATCAAGGCTAACCTATTTTTGCATAGGATCAGCTGGTTAGTCTAATAAAAAGGACTACTAACTTTGTTTTTACCTGTGATATATCTCTATATTGCTTGGAAATGTAATCCCCTCCCCCCCCAACTCCTGCCAGCCATGCTGGCTGTGGGATTCTGGGAATTTTAATCCAAAAAAAGTTAATGCTTTCAATGTCTACGTTAGAGAAGCATAGCTGTTCCAGACAAGCCTAGGCTCTTTTGGAAATGAGTAAAGCGGAGTATTAGGTTAAGGTTCCCCTTGACATTGAGTCTAGTCGTGTCTGACTCTAAGGGGTGGTGCTCATCTCTGTTTCCAACCCACAGAGCTAGTGTTTGTCTGAAGACAATCTTCTGTGGTCACGTGGCCAGCGCAACTAAACACGGAACGCCGTGACCTTCCCACTGAGGTGGTACCTATTTATCTACTCGCATTTTGCATTTTGCATGCTTTTGAACCGCTAGGTTGGCGGGAGCTGGGAGAAGCAACGGGGGCTCCCTCCGTCGCGTGGATTTGATCTTGCGACTGCAGGTCTTCTGACCTTGCAGCACAGAGGCTTCAGCAGTTTAACCCGCAGCGGTTTAGGTCTCTGGCTGTAGAGCAAGTGGTTGAGAATTCGAGTCCCTTCTGGGCCTCACTGACACAGGCTGGACTTCATCAACCATAGGGCCCCTTCCAGCTCTGCAGTTCTAAGATACTGCTGCTGCTGATAACGGAAGACTAATCGGAAGTAAAGTCCTGTTTGCAAAACCGTCCTTGCAAGGAAGATTTCTGCCTGAATGCCTGCAGCTAAGGTCTCAGTGGGGTTCTGGAAGGTACCATGGTAGGTACCAGGTTCTTTGGTAGAGCAACTGTTGGCATGTAAGATTGACACCACCATGTTAGATATCTATTGCACAAGGTATATGGCGTCAGTAGCTTGCCCAACATATATGTAACTGGAACCCCAACTGCAGAAGCTGTTGTGGCAGTGTAACCAAGTCACACAACCAGGCACACAACTGCATCTTGCTGTGATCTCGACTTGAATCTCTGTGCACATACATATTAAGCAGGATACAGTGGTGCCTTGCTAGACAGTTACCCTGCACGACAGTTTTTTTCACTAGACATTGACTTTTTGCGATTGCTATAGCAATCTGCAAAACAGTGATTCCTATGGGGGAATTTCGCTGGACAATGTTTGGTCCCTGCTTCGCAAACCGATTTTCACTAGACGACGATTTTGACAGCTTCTTCCGCGTTCGCAAAACAGGTGTTTTCAGGATTGATCGGCGGTTCGCAAAGCGGCTTTCCTATGGCCGATCTTCGCTAGACAACGACAATTCTTCCCCATTGGAATGCATTAAACAGGTTTCAATGCATTTCAATGGGGAAATGCTTTTCGCTAGACAATGATTTTGCTAAACAGCGATTTCAGTGGAACGGATTATCATCGTCTAGCAAGGCACCACTGTACTAGTTGTGGAGCTCAAATGCCAAAACAATGTGTACTTGGGGCTGATCGTAGGAACTCAATGTAAACCAGCAACCTTAGGACAGTATTGGTATTAAAGTTTTTACCATCATTGGTCTCCCATTGCCAACTTAACTGCTGCGTATTTCAGCTTAAGTTATTTTACAGCCTGGGATAAAGAAGAAAGAGGTGCTCTCTCTCCAGTGGCTGTACTTAACTTCACTGGACACAGAATCTTACTTTGACACAAGGGGGGACAGGATAATGTTTACCCTACCAGAAAGAATGTGGTGGCACTCCAGATTAAACCGCAGAAGCCTCTGTGTTGCAAGGTCAGAAGACCTGCAGTCATAAGATCGAATCCACACAATGGAGTGAGCCCTTGTCGCTTGTCCCAGCTCCCACCAACCTAACGGTTCAAAAGTATGCAAAATGCAAGTAGATAAATAGGTACCACTTTGGTGGGAAGGTAACAGTGTTCCGTGTCTAGTCACGCTGGCCACATGACCACAGAAGACTATCTTCAGACAAATGCTAGCTCTATGGGTTGGAAACAGAGATGAGCACCACCCCCTAGAGTCAGACACGACTGGACAAGAAGAGGCTTATTTTCACAACTGGGATAAATACTGCCAACAAAAAAGAGGAAAGTACTGTTTAGACAGACCAGTGAAAGACTATCACAACTGCTCAAATCTGCTATAAGAAAAACCCACCCCATTCTGCCCAACAGAAGAGCCGGCCCTCTATTTATGTAGGGCAGGCACTTTCATTATTAACTGAATCAGTTCAGCTGTTTAATCACCGACTACCCAGCTGACAGCACAACTCCAATCTTCCCATCATAGGCTGACTCACAGCTGGGATCCTGGCTTTATCACATTAATTAAAGAAATAATTGGCTAATGATATAATGAGCCACTAACCAGCTTTCTTTCTCCCCCCCCCTCCCCGTGCCTTAGAAATAAGAGGCTGCTCATAAATCAAAGCAGCCCCTAGCTACATCACATCACTGCTGGGGTTTGTTTGTTTGTTTTTTTGGCCTTCCTTTTGAAGATATATTTTGCCCTTTGAAGGTGGGGAAATGGGTGTATTTCAAGAAAACGAAGGAAGAGGGGATTGTAAATTCAACCACATGACTGAAGATCTGACAAGCAACAGAAATATGTGACAAGGAGGTGTATGCGCAAGGGGGAGGAAAGGAGAAACAGAGCTGACATAATCCAAGCATCCAGTGCAAATAATAACGAAGATGGTTTTTATCCCTCCAGGCAGTTTCGCCCTATTATAAGACTACAGAATTTGTTATTGTTGATGGCAATGTTTGTGTTTAAGGAGCAGAGCCTGAAAGGTTATGTGAGTCCCGCCAGCCCCTCTCATATCAACCGGGTGTCCTTTTCCATATTAGATGGCAAAGACCAACAGTTGAAAACTCAACAGGTTTTAGTGAATTAAGGAACGTTTAGTAGTGAAAGGATAAGAACTCAGTCCTTGTCCTTCAAGTCTAGTTAATTCCAGTGACCCAAAAATCCAGCCTTATTGAAGGGACTCCCCCTGTTCTGATCATTGAGGTTCTTATCAGTGGGACAGGAAGACCAGTTAGCTCCATGGGTCTCTTCCTGTCATGGGTGGGACAATGTCTTGTGTTCTAAACATCTTAGGCTCTTCAGCAACGAGGATCTATATGCCTGCAGTGAGCACCGGGATGGGGGGGCGGGCGACAACTTCTTTCCTTGTATCCTGGTTGGCTCCGTGTCTCCTGAGTCCTTTCCTCCAATCTCCTCTGGGATTATCTAATAATCTAATCTCAGAAGGGCAGAAGCTGGAAGGGACCCTACAGATCCCTGTGCCTCCTTGCTAAGGAGGGACAGGGGGGAACTGAACCCCCAACCTTTGGTTCTGAAACCAGACCCTTAAGCCCCTGAGCTACCTCCTCTAAACCCCTTCTTCCACCTGTGTTGGGGGTTCCTTCTTAGGATCTCCCTTGCCATTTTCTTTCCAGCTTGTTGTTCTTGATCTCCCCACTAAGAGAGGCAATAAGATGGTTTGGGATATTTGCTTTCTCCCCCCTCGGAACTCATAGCTGCACCAACACACACACAAACACCGCCAGAGAGCTTCTTTCTGTGTAGATAATACCGACAACCCTGGGAGTTCTGTTTCTTCCTCAGGGGAGCCCTTGACCCAACAGGTCCAGGTCCACACATCTAAATTTCTTCCCCTGAGCTTTGCTGGCCTCCCAAAGCTCTTTGACTCTTCTTATGGGGTTTCTGTCAATCCTTGGGATTTCTTCTTCTTCAGATCTTCAGGTTTTTATCCTTGTTCCTCTCCTCCTACAGGCCCTGTTTGACAGCCTACCACCTCCTTTTCCACGTCCCCTTCTTTCTCCTCCCCCTTTCAGCCTTGTTGTAGGGATCTGCAGATGAAACCTAATTGTCGGGATCTGCAGATGAAGCCTTGTTGTAGGGATCTGCAGATGACGTCTAGTTGTAGGGATCTGCAGATGCAGCCTTTCCCCCCTCTTGACCAGCAAGGAGATAGGAAGAGGCCAGCACTCGAGTGTGTGTTTCAGGGTGGGATCCGGATGAACTAAACAGCATGCTGTGCAACACTGTTCAGTGGGAAATCCCCCCTATCCGTCGCCGCGCCCCCCTTTTATTGTTCTCTACTACCTTTGCACTAGTTAACCAGTGACCATTCTAAACACAGGCAGGTAATATCCTGAATGCACAAGTATGGTAAAGAGAGGGGCCGGTAAACAGAGGCACATAAATCCTAAATACACAAGCAGGGTAAACATTCCTGAATACAGAGCAGGGTAAACATAGACAGATAACACTTTAAATACACAAGTAAGTTGATACAATTTACCCAGAGACAGGTAATTATCCTAGATACCAAAGCAGGTTAATGAATCATCCTTACTGGAAGCAACCACACTGTATACGTGATTTGCACGCTTAGCACAATGTCTGCTATTGCCACAGATATATACATTGTAAAAGCATACAATTTCCCCACAAGCAAGAGTTCTTCTATATTGGCTAACCACCAAGGATAAAACACAGTTTCCTTCTCCATAATCAAGTAGCCTCTGATTCCCCCATGCAGACATTACAATGTACACCTCAGTCTGGGGTCCTCCTTTCTCGTGAATCACCGTCAAAACTGTTTCCCTCCTCAGATTCCTATGGGGGAACCGTGGTGATAGGCTCTTCAGATGCAGAGGTAGGTGATCTGGGCACCGGGTTAGGGTACGACACCTCACCATCAGGGAGCACCTGTGTTCCTGTCTTCCTCC